ATGCGGTTTATGCATGATGGAGCTCCGCCGCATTTTAGCCGAGTGGCTAGGCAATTTTTCAATCAACACTTTGCAAATAAATGGATCGGTCGTGGAGGTCCTATTGCATGGCCTGCTCGTTCTTCGGATTTCAATCCATTCGATTTTCATTTGTGGGGACATTTAAAATCTATTGTATACGCAACATCGATTGAAAATGCTGAAATACTATGAAATAGAATAGAGCAAGGCTTCCGACAAATTCGAGAAACACCGAGGAATGTTAGAGAGAGTAACCAGATGAATGACAAGACGCGTGCAACGTTGTCATTTCGAGCATCTTTTGTAAAAGTAATTAAAACAGGAAATTCATTACATCTCACAAACGAAGACAGATAGGACATATACTTATATGACTTTTTTTCATTACTTTTTAGGCGTACAATCAGCCCCCGAAGTGGGTTCCACAAGTTAGAAAACACCCTGTATATATATACGTCACCTCGTACTTTGCATTTGCAAATTCGAGGAATTTTCCTTTCAAACGTGCCGCGATCGCCGATGGAATCGACCTAATCGATAAAATAACGAAACAAGCGGGAGGATCGGGGGAGTTTAAGGACGAGGATCCCCGTCAGTTTTGCAGAGAGGGAACGGAATAGAAGCCAAGTCCTGTGTGTCGCATAATACGGGAAATCCTGGCGCACGGGAACTAGGGCAGATCTGTCTGTCTGCTCCTTTTTCTCCGCGGCGGCTTGAAACGCGCTGAATCCGTGTCCGTGTTCACGGCGCAACAATGGAGATGCAGCACGTCCGCAAAAGTGCATCGCACCTGTACGTACAATGCAGCACCTTCCTTTCTCTCTGTACGTGACACACGGAGTTCTGTCCAATGGCGTACTCCACGCTCTACAAGGTGGTTCTCGCAGAGACGTATGTATGTATGTGTGTATGTATGTATGTATGTATGTATGTATATATGTATGTATATACGTACGTACATACATACGCCGAGCGTAATTTCGTTTCGACTCTTTTTAACTTTGCACACGGTAAGAGTTCAATCGCGATCTACACTGGAAACCACCGAAATTTTTCGTCACCGTGTATTTCTCAGAAGGTACATTGAAATAATCGAAACGCTGAATCAAATCCATTGTATTAAATTCCAATTTACGTTATTTGTTCGTTCGTATTCCGTATTGAATTGTTAACGAGCGTACTAACAATTCGACAGTGACTTTGAGTGTATTTAACAGTCTAGTGAAATTCGAAACGTAATACGGGTCGATGCATAACTTATCCAAGGGTTGCATATCTCAATCTATCCAATACATACCCTACCGTCGCATTTCTTGAATTAGAATTCACTTACGTTTAATCCGAGTAAAGTTCGCTGCAATTATTGTCGACGACTGCAGACGCCTTCAGTGCAGATTCGAGCAACGTGAAGTTAGCGCCCATAGGCGCCGACAGCACCTCGAAAGGAAATTTTAAAAGCGCCTCTAGGCGTCAAAGAGTTAAACACGTACGACGTAGAAATGAAAACTGGGCGAGATCGATGGATGGGAGACAAGAAATTCTGAGGGTGCAGTAACGAAATAATACCGAGCAGATCGATGTTTCGATTGATATAAACCATAATAACCAAGTGCACAAATTGAAAAAGAAAAAAAAAGTGGTGGTACTGTGAACACCATTTTTTTTTCCAATTTATTTCAGTTTTCACTTTCACTTTCGAAGTTTAATCAATTTGTTTCGGAGGGAACATATAACGAACAAGCAATACTCGCCCTGAGACTTTCGAATTGTCTTTTCTATTACAAACTTGTTCACACAGCAAAGCATCGTCCTCTCAATTTTGAAACAAACACCCAACTTGTTCATTAAAATCACTTGTTATGAAAAGTTGGAAGATTTAGAAACATAATCATCGTTAGAAACACGTTTCACTGTTCGAAGTACATTTTCAATTGACGAACATAACAACAGATCCGTACGTGAGTCTCTCTCTCTTCTTCTCTTTTCTATCGCGCGGTTCGGTTTCCTCTTTTAATTAAAATCCGTAAACATTTTTTCCTCCCTTCCCCCCTTCTTTTTTCCACCGTTCTCGCGGATTTTCTCTCTTAATACGAGAGAACGGCGAGAGAACGGTAATTCAAACGCGAGTCACGAAACTCCGTCGCAACGAAACAATTGAAATTACTAGGTGCGACTGCAGATTGTTAGCGGAAACACCCAGTATATTCTTCGCGCGCTTTAGATGCAGTGCATGCGGCGTTTCGGTTTTCGGAGGGTTTTATGCGCGGACGTTGTTCTAGCCGTTCCGAAGTCGTTTCTTTCTTCTCTCCTCTATTTCTCTTTTTCTTTCTTCCTCCCTTTCGTTTCTTTTCCTTTCTTTTTTCTTTCTTTTTTTTTTTTGTTTTTTTTTTGTTTTAACTTACTCTGCTATACGCTGCTAACCTCCCGTGTGCAATTTTGCAACCCGAAACCCCAGTAACGTACGACCTCAACATGCTCTTGTTCCAACGTCACCGATAAAAAATAAAGCATTGCGTAATAAAATGTTACAGCACACACGGAACAGAAATATAATATGCACGGAACGATTTCTTACAGCTTAAATCACTCTTTCACGTACCGTGCGATAGCTCGTGTTTTGTATATTACACTCTGCAATTATATTTCATGGCTTGATTACAAATGAAATTTGAAAATGAATGATTTGCCGACCCTTTGATCTCGCGTTTCCTTTCAACGTTGTTGCACGACTATATATTTATTTTAAGGTAATAATTAATATACAACGATAAGATTCGATCTTTATTTATTTACCATTTTACTTTATTTATTATTATTATATAATTTGTTTTTTATAACTTTTAAAACAATCTCCAACGTGTTACATAAAAGTTTTCTTTTTTTTTTTTTTTTTTTATAGTAAATTTGTACTGTCCAGCGTGACGTACGAGTTCGAAAGGTCAACGATAAGAAAACAATAGCAAGTGTCGTTTTTTACAGATATGATAAGAGAAATAGAACAAACGGCCCGAAATAAACTTTGGAAACCTACCTAGACCTCTTGTCTCAGTGAAGACAGAAACTAACCAAGATTCCGAGATCGCGTCACTTCTTGTTACTTCTTGTCTCGAGTCTCGATGATGACAAATGAAAATCGACCAAATTTCTTCGCAATTGAAATCTCCGAGAACTGCGATAAAAAATTTCTTTCGCTCGAGAAAAAGTAAATGACAAAGGGCGAATATATTTCTTCCCCCCCTCCCGAATGAAACCAAAAAAGGAGATACGAATATCACCGACGAATGTTTACACCGAGATATTTTTTATTATCCAGCATATTCCCCCGGAAGGGGACAGGTTGCTACACGGGCCACAGATTATACTTTTAATTTATGTCATGCTGCAATTACTGACGCGATTACAGCGTCGCTGTATTATTTCTCGCGCCTCTGAACGAGATCCGATCCAACGTACGGCGGACGAGTTTAGTCGACGCGAGAAAAAAGGAAAACTGTACGAAAAAGAGAGAAGCTAATTCGCCAGAGTCCGTACGAAATAAGCTACTTCTGACAATATCTACTTCACGCGCGTTAGAAGCAGCGCAAATAATTTTACGGCACGGAAAAGGATATTATATACGTCGCCGTTTGTTTTTATTACATCATATTTTATATTATATGTAACAGTGGAAGGTGATTTATATATTATATATATTATACATATCACATATATATTATATTTGTATATTATATATATTATACATATCACATATATATTATATTTATACATTACACATATCATATATATATATAATATTTATGTATTATACATATTATACATATCACGTATATATTATATTTATATATCATACATATCATATATATATATATATATATATATATATATATATATATATATTATATTTATACATATTATACATATTATACACATCACAAATATATTATATTTATATATTATACATATTATACACATTACAAATATATTATATTTATGTATTATATATATTATACACATCACATATCTATTATATTTATGTATTATACATATTATACATATCATATATATATTATATTTATATATATATATCACCGTTTTTTACAATTACAATTACAATTGAATCAATGGAGATTCGATGTAACATTTTGATAATTTCATTTTAGTATATCTGCTCGTTGCTTCATCTCGTCGAAACATCGTTACGAAAATAAGTAACTTACTCATAATAATTATCAGATTCTCGGTCCTACGATAAAGCATTATTTGAAAAGCTAGGTAGTCTCCTATCGATTGCAGTGGAAACGTGAATTTAAAACGACGAATGTCTTCTGAGACATGGACACGGTCGATTAATTTTAATTATTATTACAGTAATTGCCTCAGTTATTCTCGAACTGTACAACAGATCGCACGACTGCCACATAAAGACACGTCGCAATCGCGCTGTTCACGAAACAAACACTCGTTCGAAGAAATCAATATAAAAATTTCACCTGAAATATTGCGCTGTATGCATCGACGTAGTTTTCAGTGGTGATAACCTGAACAAAGCGGGCAGTTGGAATTTATAATACCTAGCACCGTTTCCTTTTGTACGAAGAAAAATGAATTCCCAATTGCATCGCTCTCTCCGTCTCGAAAATCCTCCCCTGTCTACCAACTGCGTGAAACAGACAGTAACGAACCTAACGAATGTCCCGTGCGCGCATAAATCCTCCATCGTGGAAAAAGCCACGAAAACGAGCCGTTTTCAACGTCTTTCTGCAAAAAAAAAAAAAAAAACGAAAGATACTTCTCGCCGGAAAAAGCGTTGCATTGTCCACGCGTGTATCTGATCAACGTCCGCGATGCGCGGAGAACATCCGCACTTACGGCCGATTTTATCGCGCGAAAAAGTTGGCGATAATTGGTGGCGCGGCGCGGATATCGAGCGGGATGTTCTTCCACCGCGCGAAATGAAATTTTCAGTGAAAAGTTGTTCTTACCGCGCGCCCCCACGGGTTTCAGGACGAGCGTTCCGCCATTAAATCGTTGAAACACGCGCTGCATATTTACCGACCTCCTCCCTCTTTTTATTTATTTATTTATTTATTTTCTTTTTTTTTTGCTTCCTTTTCTCTCGATTTTCTGCCTGCCTCTTCGCCTCGTTTCACGAACGAGCATTGCCGCGGTCGTACACAAATTCAGTGGTGACAGGACAGTTTGAAATTTTCAAAAAAATCGATTTTTTTTTTTCTAAATAGTAGTTTGAAGTCTTAGACATAAGATACAAACGGTCCTAGCCTTTAAAACGACTTACTTTGGGGTATAATAATAATAATACCGACCTCCTCCCTCTTTTTATTTATTTATTTATTTATTTATTTATTTTTTTGCTTTCTTTTCTCTCGATTTTCTGCCTGCCTCTTCGCCTTGTTTCACAAACGAGCATTGCCGCGATCGTATACGAATTCAAAGTGGCAAGACAGTTTGAAATTTTCAAAAAAATCGATTTTTTTTAAATAGTATTTTAATAGTTTTTTCTAAATAGTAGTTTGAAGTCTTAGACACAAGATACAAACGGTCCTAGCCTTTGAAACGACTTATTTTGGAGTGTAATAATAAATCCGCGAATACAGGATAATTGAATTTGCATCACTGTTTGCAATTTTAAGCAGTGTTATAAAGTGTAAATCGTGCGATTCAAATATTACCATTGGCGAATCGAATATTGGGGGACTTGGATTCAATTTAGTTGTGAATTGTAAGAACTGCGAGTCGCGATATGTATAAGTAGAAAAAGTAAGTAAAGGATACATATGAGAAATGACGTTCTGAAACTTTAAACGCGTTTTTCTCGAAACTAAGTTTTTAGAAACGGTGTAGATATCTCGGAATCTAACCAACCGATTATCGTAAAACTTGGTACGTATCTTTATTATAACATTTACTAGGGATTGACGATCGAACATTTTTTAATTTTTAACAATTTCGAAAAATGTAAACAAAAAAACGTAAAAATTTTTCGCATAAATTCGACACATCAAAAACAAATAGCTGCCGTTTTCATAATTTTCATAGAAATGGAAATGTTGGATCGTCAATCTCTAAAGAATATTATATACTTTTGAACCTTTCTTTTGCCTTTTTGTTGCAAATAATTCTGTTTGGCTGGAATCATGCACACCGATAGGCAATGTAAAAAAAAGTTATGTAAAAGGATGCTGTTGAAAAGTTAAACAAGAGCCTTCTTCTTTCCTCTTTTATAGGGCTTGCTTTTTATAGTTCATAATGTGTTAAAATAAGCCACAAAAGCTCGTGTCAGTCAAATATGTACTTTTTTTTTTACTAGCCCTCCAAAGTATTCGTCCTGCCTCCTTAAATCTCGCGGATTTGTGGATCCGGAAAAAGATTTCGTTTCGTCTCTGAAACATTTTTCGTTTCAAAATTCCCCTATCTGTCTGTGTGATCTGATTAATCGCAGCGAACAACTTCGGCGTAAATGCTCGTTTCAATGCTTGTCGCGATGAGCATCTTTCGTGGTGTATAAAATTGTTTTTTCACCTTTTTTCGAAGGAAAGTTCCTTCCGTTTCTAATTTTATCTAGGGGGAACTTTCGCGACTTAACGAACCGCGAGCTTGTTACGAACGGCGAAGCCCAAGGATGTGACGAAGAATTCCGTTAATTATAGCTCGTTTGAAAAGTTTCTCGTCCCGTTCGACAAGCTCGCTTTCATTCCCTTAAATAATTTTCTGCGCGAAAACATCAACCCGTTGAACGACTTAGAAAAAAAAAAAAAAAAAGAGAAAAAAGCAGCATATCCAAATCGCAGCTTCGAGCGGGTAAAATCCATTGGAAACTCCGCTCGACGAGATGAACTCGCCAGAAAAGAAGAAAAGAAAAGAAAAAAAAGAAAAAAGAAAAAGGAGGGGAAAAAATCTGTCGCCTGTAGTTCACTTCGTACGTGCGATTCTGCCAATTCTCCGTGCTCCTGGCGGAAAGCTTTGTTTCGCGACAGAGCTATTAACTTTTTCCGAAGAACCGGCGCGTAACGCCAGTTATTTAGGAAATAACAATGCCGACTATTTTCTCTCTCTTTCTCTCTTTCTCTTTTTACCTTGGCGTGTTGGCGTGGTTGCCGTGCGAGCAGAAAAATTGAGAAAAAAAAAAAAAAAACGGGGGAAGAAACGAGAGGTGGGGAGAAAGGTTTGCGGCGGAAATTTTTGGAAAACGTTTCGTGGCGGAATTACAACTCGGCGAAGCCATTTATTTCAAACGATATCGATTGGCGCCGGTTTTAATTGAAAATTCATTCGCGTGCTCGAGGGGCGGCGGCTCCGCGTGCCGAATATCAGCTATCGAATTTTCTTTTTTTTTTTTTTTTTTCTTTTTTTAACTCGCGCGCGCAACAACAATTTCGAAATTTCACGAACGACCTGCCGGTTCGTCGTCTCCAAATCGTACGAAAGATTACGTCCGGGCGGATTCAAGCGTGAAGAACGTTCAAACGTTCGTTGAGAATGAGGCTGAAAACAAAGGCACAATTTCTTTCCTATATGTGTACCTATCGTGATTGTTGTTTGTGTCAGTTCTTTATATTTTCGTGTATTTCGATTCTTTGCGTTAAGTTTGAAAATTATTAATGATCGTTCGTTTTGTAAGTGATACACATGATGAGTCACGTGAGACTAGAAACCTTGCCGTAATATAGAAGTATAGCTTTGCGAAAAATCTCGCCGCTAGAGATCAAGGAAATTCCGAGTATATTAATTTTGGACATCGTATTGATTAATTCGTGTATTACACGTAATTATCGTATAGTAATTATCGTATTTCATACATTTTTATTTACTACGTGCATTCTACTTATTTGTATCTTTAAATGCCTAAAAATCCTGCAGTCCGATTACGATAAATTATGTCTAACACGAGAGCCATTCGCAAATCATCAAGTGTCACTGGCAGAAAATATTATTTAAATCCCACGACGATTTTGTGGAACTACAATAATGAACTAAATATTAAATAAAACTAACTAAATAATGAAATCATTTGTTTCTCGAAAATTGAATATCATATGAAATTAAAAACAAAACAAAACAAAACAAAATCGATCAGATTTAGACTCTGAAAGACTGGAGAATGAAATAATGAAAAATCCTCGTTTAATCCTCAAACGCGTGCCATTTTTAAGATTAGCTCGAGCACAATTTTCGATTGGAAGAAAAGCCATCGTGCATCGAAAAGTCGAGCTCTCTTCTCTCGATTGAGCTTCAGTAATTGTCGATCGAATCGTGGTCGAATGAGAAAGATGACGATCGACATCTGGCCGAGGAACGTTCCCTCTGTTGCAGATTATTAATCGAGGGATAAGAAAATAGAGAAAGAGAGAGAGAGAGAACGAAGACGCCGGTTGTCGACGATTAATCACACCGGTTAGAACGCTCGGGTGTCTTTGGCTGCCGGTTATCTACCACTCGCTTGGATAGACCAAGTGCCTCAACAGGAACGATGCTTTCGCATGATGAATAGCTCCAGAGCTGTGGCAATGGAGTTCTCCGCCAGGAAATTGATTTCGATCGCAATTTTTGAGAAGTACGAACGGTTCCTTGGCGTTGGAGAAAACTGTTAATCGTTAACTGAAATTTAGTATTTCAGCTCGTCCAACGTCTTGAATTACAGAAGCATCGAATGATTGAAAATTTTGTACGTTCGTTTCATCTTGTAAGTAACAGTGCCAGGAGTTTAAAAGTTCTAGATCTGTTTGGCCGTTTAAAGTTGTTTAAATAAATAAGGTGGAAATTGGGGAATTTTAGAACCTTGGAATTTTTCAAATCGTAGAATTTTAGAGTTTTTAAAATTTTTTTTAAACTTGAAAGCCTAAGAGTTTGGGACTCTTTCGCAGAATATCGTTAAAATTTGGAAGTTCTAGAACTTGAAGATCCTAGAATTCTGGAGTCCTGGAATTCTAGAACTTTAGAAATACTAGAATTTTAGAATCTTGAAATTTTCACATCCTAGAATCGTGGAATTTTTAGGATTCTAACATTTCAAGACTCGAAGACTCTTGAATTTTAAAATTTCGGAACTCTAGAATTTAGAAATCCTAGAATTTTAAAATTCCAGAAGTTTTAGAATTTCAGAATTTTAAAATTCTAAAACCCAAAATTCGAAGACCCTTGAATTTTAGAAGAGATTTTGGGATTCCGGAACTTAAAGATCCTGGAATTCCAGAATCCTAGAATTTTAACATCCCAGAATCTTAGAACTGTAGAACCCTAGAATTTTAACATCGTAGAATTTTAGAATCCCAACACTTTTAATAAAATCTCGATCAACAATAAATCAAATTATAAATCTCTTGGCTGCGAACGACGAGTATATTCGTCACGCGAGAAAAGTAATTATAATTTGTTACTTAAATTAAATTTTTTGTGGAAAATAAAACACACCTTTTCAAAAAACTAGGTTCGACTAGTTCTTTCTACATCATTTCTAAATATTTTCTTACCATTAATATTCATCAAGTTAAACAATAAAAAATTACTGACTTTTCAAACAAAGAAAACCAGTGTTAATTTTACAGTAGCTGCACACACACACACACACACACTCTGTGTTCGACGAATATATTCGTCGTTCTAGCAGACAAACACTTTTAAAAGCGGCAGCGCAGCTAAGAGGTTAAGAGAAATCATCTCCTACCTACGTTTAAACCGCCGCGAGGGTGAAATCTCTCGCGTGTCAAAGAGTCTCGCAAGACGGAAAAAGAAAAGGCGTT